ATTAAAATAGCAGTGGATTAGGGATGCTATAATGCATTTAATCTAACCTTGTAATGCTTGCATTAATCAAGGCTTAAAAAGATTTAAAATTTTCGTTGAAAAACGAAAAAACCCCAAAAACTTGGGTTTCTGGTTCGAATTTGGCTTCTGGACAGTTCTCGAAGAGGGTTGAATCTGTTTCAGAATGTCGATTCCACCCAAAAATCACTATTTTTGAGCCAAAATTTGGGTTCAACAGCCAAATCGATAAAAATACGAGTTTTAAAATAATTAAAACGAGCTTCTAATCTAATTAGAAAAGCAAAACCAGAAATTAAATCTTACTTTAAAACACCTTAATTAATCAATAATTGCAAAAACTAAAAGGAGCGTGGCTCCAATACCGCTGTTGGGTTTCGTAGTGACCCACACTACGCGGAAAGAAACCCTCCAAGACCCGCCCCCATAATAAATGCAATTAACAAGCAAAACATAATTAAAACATAATTAAGGATAAAAGATCATACCTTTGACGCGTGCTTCGCTCATCTATGAGCTCTTACTTAAACCCCGAAAATACGAGGTCTCCAACGGGATCGTACCCTCGAACCCAACCCGAGCGTCCTAAGTCTCGAAGGTTAGTCGAGACCCGGACAAATAAAACTATGAGTTTTACGAATCAAGGTTTACTCAAATCAAGAGTTGCCTTTTAATTCCACTTAAGGTTGTTCATTCCCAATACCCATGCCTTTGGTATTTATAGGGAAAGGAACCCTTGATCTTCATTCCCCAACCAATGTGGGAGAATGAGTAATTTTGACAATTAATTTTATTTCAAATTAAATTAATAATCAAATCAATCACAATGCAACAAGTGTCAAGGGGAGAGAGAAAGTTAGGTGAGGACCATGAACCTTGGGGGGACCATTGCCTTGCTCCCCAAGGCATGCTCCAAACCCTTGGTCCCCACCCTCACAAAACCGGCCTAGGAGGGCTGCTGGGCTGGCAGCCAACTAGTGCTGCCAGCTAGCACCAGCCAACAAGCCCTCCATCACCCCAGCCAGCATATGCGTGCTGTGCTGGGCGATGCTTATGCTGCTGCTGCGTGCTAGTGCTAGGCGCTGCTAGCTGCTAGCGCTGGACCTTGCCTCTCTCGCCATCGCACACGTACACGCAATGCCCCCTTCGCACTTCCCAACATGCGTGCTGCTAGCGAGCTACACATGCTTGGAATCGCCTCGCCAGCCACACGCACAAGCATGCGAAGCTTGGTGTTGTGATGCTGCGATGGCTTGCGATGGCCCTAGGCATAAGCACACGTACACGCACACAAGGCCTAGCATGGTGCTGTTGTGCGAGGCTGCTGCTGCGATGGTGCCTACGCACACACACACGCACAAGGGTGTTGTGCTTGGTGGGTGGCCTGCGATGGTGCCTACGCACATGCACACACACAAGGGTGTTGTGCTTGGTGCGATAGTGCTGCGATAGTGCCTAGGCACCCATGCACGCACGCTGCGGTGCTGCAGTGCCATGCGAAGGCACGCACACACGCAGGTGGTGCTGCGATGGGCAGCCTAGTGCACCTAGCACGCATGGCGCGCCTAGCACACACATGGTGCGCCTAGGCTTGCGATGAGCTAGCCTATCCTAGCCTAGCTACGGCTATGCTCGTTCTTGTTGCTTGTGATTTTGCGACGCTCGGTCTCGACGCCCTAGGCTCGATATCCGACGTCCGTATTCATAAAACTCCGTCGACTCATTAAATCCTTCGGATTAATTCGTCGTCTCGGATCGGTTGTTCGATTGGGTTCGACCCAAAGGGTTCAGTTAAGATTTAGCTGTAATATTAATTATACCTTAATATTACTGATCGGAAGCGGCCTCCACCTAGGCATTCTGATCACTTGACCTTACTAAATAAGTAGCTCTGTAATAATCCTGAACCCTCTATCAGAATAATACACTTGTTGGAAGGACACCATTCCTTTCAGCCATAAATACAAACACCAATCCCGAGCATTATTAATTGCAGAATCCTCCTGTATTAGCGAGGAGTAATTACTATTTCCGCACTTTTACCTCCTGTACGTTACTAAGTTGATCGTCGGATGCAGAGCTCCCACCAACCGGAGTCTTCGTGGTTTTGCAGGTACAGGCGTCATTGGCACATACTAGAAATTGTAACTCTCCCGCAGGACACATAAAAAACCCCCGAAATATCAGTCGTAGTGGAATGTTGTTCCAAAACCACAGGCCGTCCCAAATATACTAACGTTGTTCGTCCATGTATATAGCCCAAAGGTCAACATGGGACAGCCGGCTCAAGTGACGCCTTTCGCCTAGAAGATGAACTACCTTAGCTTAGGGGAGAAGGGCAGCCCCTTTTCACAAGAATCAGGTTAAGGAGAAGAATGTTATGATCGGCACTCGTGATTGTTACTTGTATTGCCTAAATCTATTCGCATTCAAGTAATTTATACCTTATTTGTTTAAATTTGGTAGATGGATTTCAAAACACCTTTCTTATAATTGTTCAGGAATGAATATGTGTATGTGTTACACAAAAAAAATTTGAAGGTCCAGAAAACCCTAGAGATGCATGTAAAACATCAAAGGTCCATTAATGGATTGAACTAAGCATCATGGAGTATGAATCTTTAATTTAGTAAGTTGATCAAATGGTTGGTGTTCTCATAAATGAAGAAGGATCTTGAATATACAAGAGGTTTAATGGGAGCTATGTAATCTTCTTTGTTCTGTTTGTAGATCACATACTTCTTACAAGATACGATGTTCCCATACTTGAATTGGTCAAGTGATGGCTAATGAATTGTTAATGTATGAAAGACCTTGAAGTGAAAAATGGGTATACATCTTAGGAATCAAGATTTATAGAGATATGTCTTGAAGGATGATTGAGCTTAATTAAGAAACTTATATAGGTTCAAAGATGAAAACTCCAAAAGAAATTTTCTTCCCATTTAACATGGCACATTACTTAGCAAGACGAAGTACAAAGCAAAGACTGATGAGATTAAGCGAATAAATGACATTCCTTCTGCATTTGCAAACTGTTATGTATATACGATACACCTTGTACTCGTTTCATGTATACTTAAGCAGATGTGCAATTTTCAATCGCATTCTGATATATATGATTTTGGAATAATATAAAATTAAGAGTTTTCGAAAGTATTTGGAGCGAGGAGGACAGAAGGTAACGTCTTGGTTTATGGAGATAAAACTATCTTAAAAGACAAAAGGATGCAAAGTTCATGTGTATGCTGAGAATGTCTCAATACTTGTTCACTATACTATTTCATCAAAAGCCTAAACATGAAACTCATAATAGGCTCATTGGAAAACAAACAAATTGGATGATGGCTTTGATTGTGTAATGGACAAAGTTACAAACCTTTCAATTATGTTCTCAATATGGTTTATCAATGTGAAACAAAGTTTCAACTTATTTAACATGGTTTAATATTGAATAAATGTCCAAAAAAAATTTTGAAATAATTCAATGGGTTTGTGAAATAAGTGATTTGATGAATGAAACACCATAAGTGAACTATATTCATGGAATATTTAAGTACCTAATCAAAGTCATTAAAATGGACATGATTGACTTTTTAAATGGATAAGCATAAGAGATTGATTGATAACACAATTTCAGAGGCTGTGGGAATATGGAGATGTTCAATCAATCATATGGATATGAATGATTAATACATGATTTAATGGACCTAACTAGAAGTCCTGAAATCTTTGCAGTCATATAAGTGGATTCCTAAAACATGAGTGAACACAACTTAGCTCGATTATCAATTATATATAACTTTGATACAATAAGACGTCATGCCGTAAAAGGGGACTCTGTATTAAGGCAATATTAGGGTTGTGCTAAAAGTTGAGTGGCAGTTTTAGTTGCCACAAGATTGAATAGGTTCTCCTTGGCCTGTTAAAGACTAATAATTAAAAATGATATGATGGTCGGGCTCAAATGGATTATAGATAATCATTTGTTTATCACTTTAAACTCGAATATTAAGGAATAATTTGAAGACTAGTATTTATGACATAGAGATGTAATCATATAATTAAATTAAACACTAATAGCTTAAGCAATTTGAACATTGCGCACTTGTCTCGGACAAGCAGGAAATTGAAGGAATTGTGTCATCAACTCTAGTGCAATTACTAAATTAAATATGAATCGTATTATGGAGATAATAGTTCATTTATTTGGGTCGACTTTATGTCTTGCTACAGACCAATATCGGCCTTTGGGCTAGAACGAAATAAACTTAAAGCCCACCTAAATGGTTCCTACAAGGTCACCCCAAATTATTAATTAGATGCAGTGCGTCTAAACTAGATGCACCACCTATTAAACACACTCATTAATACACAAAACGCACAGACTATAAACTTCTTCTCCTTCCTTCTCCGATCTTCTTCCTGCCTTATTTCTTTCCTTATTTCTTAATTCTTACTTGTTCTCTTTTCTTAATTCCTTAATTCTTAATTTCATATTTCTTAAATTTGTTTGAAATTGTCCCTCTCCTTTGTTTTGATGTTGTCTTCTCATTTCAAAGTTTTCTCTCTTCTCTGTTTTATGTGTTTCGCTAATTCATGACAGATTTAGTTGTTATTTCTGAAGAGATTCTCAAAACAGGTTATTTATGTTATTGATTTGCTATTTGGTTTAATTAGGTTAGATTTTTTGAATTTGGGATTGATATTGCATCTATAATTATTGTGTATTTTGTTAATTAATTCGTAATATGTGATGAATTTGTGATGATTATCAAGCGATTGTCATAATTTTCTCTCTCCTCTATTATTCTTTTGATTCCTAATCAATCATGTTATACATTGATATATAAATATTTTCTCTATGATGAACCAAGTTAAATTTTTGGTGTATATTCAATTTTTTAGGGTTCAAATAATTATAATCAAACTTCTATATTAAAAAAAATAAAAATTAAATTATTTTTATTTTTTTTAAAAGAAAAAGCCATATAATACTTTAGAAATGAACATTTTGTACAAAATGATTTATTACATTAAATCTAACATTTAATACATAAAAAAATGAACATATTTAAACAACTTTTTTTTTTTTTTTGTCAATAATTGTGAAAGAGTAGAGCTGATCAAGAATTATCGACCAATGAAGATATTAATGAACATATTCTATAATTGACTAATGAAAATGAGTTTATGACCCAAAAAAAAAGAGAAAAAAAAGGTAATCTTTACCTACATAAAAATTAATGTCACATGTGTCTTTGATTCTTTATATGAAGTAAAACTAAAAAAAAAAATGGACAAAAGAAGAGAGAGAGAGAGAGAGAGATTATACTCCTTACTAATTTTTTATTCCGGTCCAATATTTAGGGTCAATTACCAAAATATGTTGATCGCCCCAAACAAAAAAAAAAAAAAAAAGAGTCCTCTCATTTGCCAAGATATTCATTAACATCCTCAAACAGAACTCATAATAACAGAATCACAGGCCAAAACTTCTGACTACACAAGCAGAGCTAGCAACCACAAGAGCAGCAAATATCGGAGGCACAAAAAGATCAATCTTTGAACGTTGAAATAACTTCGCCGGCAAGCAAACGACATCCGATGGAAGGTCTACCGGTACCCTTAAGCTACCTTCTGATTTACAAGCAGTCGAAAATGACGATGTTGGCGTTATAGCCCATATAAAGGTAGTTTCCGGGGTTAAAGCCGCCACCGCCACAGTCACCGTAAGGAGGAGTGTCCACACTCCGGCATATATTATCATTGGACGGCGCCACGAGCTCAAGAATTGTGAAAGAGTAGAGGTGATCAAGAGGGAAATAGACATTGTTTTATGAAGTAATGTAAGAGGAAATATGACTTAAGATGAGGAATAATGATACAGAATTAAATTTAAGGTACATAAATATATGGTTTTATCGTGTAAACTATATGGTTGTAACATTAGTTTAGTTGCTTAACTAATTCATAACAGAATCAATAGATGGTGTTATTTGAGGAAATAATAGTTTGTGTAAAGTAGTTTGTATTGGTGGAATTGGAAGATGACGTTACGTTATAGAATTGAATATTAGGTTGGTCGGGTTTGTTGATCAACTGCTCAATGTAGTACTGTGTTTTCTACCTGACTTGTACGCTGACACGTGGCCGTCATAGGTCAGCTCGTCGTTTACATAGTACTTGTCTTGATCCCATGAACAAACTTACATGTGAGTGAAAGTGTTGTCCCACATTAAAATAGCACGAAAGTGCTTGGAAGGGTATCCCACATTAAAAAATTATAAAAAAGTTGTGTCCATATTATAACGTTAAAGGGATTTCTCCCTTCATTGTCATATAATTTTGAGGTGCAACCTCCATGTTCGTATGAAGTGGACACTCATGACTTGTGTGGCCCAAGCTCGTTTATCAGAGCCAGGTTGGGTTTAGTTGTGATCTAGGCTAATTTGAGTAAAATTGTAGTCCTGCATTGAAAGTGTTAGGAAGTGCACATTAAATAAATAAGAAAGTTGTGCCCACATTACAACGCTAAGGGGTTACTCCCTTCACTGCCATATGATTTTGAGGTGGAACCCTCTTAGTCGTTTGTATAAAGTGGACACCCGTGACGGATATAATCCGGACCCGTTTATCATCTTTCAAAGTCAATGCTCGAAAAATGGACTTTCTCACCGGAAAATGGAGGTTATAGGCTAACTTTTATAATTTTGTTATATTACAAGCAAAAAGGTCTGAAATGAAGAGAGAAAAAGGAAACAAACGAATGCTCCAGGAATAAGATGCATGTCGTGACAATTTTTCCCAAAAAAAAGTCATTGTAGATAGTCCATATAACATGATATTTTTTGTAATTTTGTAGAAATTAACTTCCAAATTATCCCCCTATGCCAGTGATTTTACCCAAAATTACGAATAATGCCATTGTAATATGCACTATTCACCCTAAAACTGTAACTCGTAATATTTTACCTCTTGGTAAAAAAATACATTTGGAGTAAAAATCAAAATACAACGTTGGATAACTTTGCCTTTATGAAGAAGAGAGCAATATATTTTGAAATTTTTTTATTAGAAAGGGGACATTTTTCAGGAGGGAGTATGAACTATACAAGAGCTGAAATTTACATTTGCATCAGCAAATTGTACAGGTTGCTGAAGATGAGAAGAGAAGCCTACAAGGTTTTTACAACTTTTTGGGTGAGGATAAAAAACGTACTCAAAGAAATGCAGAGTGCAGTAAGCATAATCACAGCCATCATATGAAGTGATATGTAAGGCGTCAGGAAGAAGATAACAGCGATGGAAAGGCTCTGCCAAACCTTCAACTGTGCAAATGCTCCCTCCTGTAATCGATTTTGTTAGAATTTACAGATATATAAACAACAAAGTAGATAATCATTCGTTCAGCGCAAGGGAAATCTTATGTGGATCTACTTAACAGAACAAAGCACCGTAAGAAAAAGCAAAGAATCTATCCTAGAAATTTCTACAAGCGCCTTGTGAAGAAAAAATACTTATCTAAATTTAGTTGACACATTTCATTAAGTGTGTTTGCCAATCCATGCTAGTGTGAGCATAGGGATAAGGTGTTTGTGTGGGTGGTGGTATTGTTGTGACTAACGCGATGATTAGATTGTTGACACATTTCGTTGAATGATGGTAGGACAAGGCTAAGGGTAGTGGACATGGTGGTTAGGAAAGAAAAAGGGGAACAATTGAAGTCACATGCCACTCACGTGATAGTTTTGGCCAGAAATGGTGGTCAATGACCGGAAATTGGGCTAAGGTCTTGCTTAGCTAAAAAAAATCTGTTTTAAGATCCCAATGTGCAACTTTTTATTAAGGTTTCTTTACCACAAAATGAGCAAGGAACATAAAAGGTCCTTTCTGACTAATTCTCCTTAATTATTTGTAGCTTTACACCAAAAGTTTATGTAACCTCATCCCATATGATTGCAAAAATTGAAAATAAATAAGCAAATATGTAGTGAATCTGCAATCACTAGATACCCCTAGAGGTCAAGATATCCTATCTATAAACAATAACGTGTATATAAGTAGCCATAGATGTCTTTTTATAATTAGAAAAAAATAGTGGCTATATAACACTCTTCTGGGGCAGAGGTTGGGCTGCTCAATGATATAAATCAAGTAATCAACCATCCTCAGTCCTGCCAGCAGCAGTTCATTCCTACTGTAGTCAGGTTTTTGTTTCTTTTTTTTCTTTTTTTTCTTTCTGTGTAGTCCTGCCAGAAAGCACTATGCATACTACAGAAATAGAGCTACAAAATACTACAAAAAAGTGACATGACCTATTAAAAATAAAAGCAGAGTTATAACTACAAAGGAAGGCTGAGCTCAAGTCACTCAACATATTATCAATCTTGACTTGGCTCAAGCCTAAATGGAGTAAAAGAAAAAAAAAAAAAAAAAAAAGATTAATTTGTGTGGCTAGCAAGTTAGCATTTTCAGTTTCCTGACAGGACCATTCGAGCAACAAAAGTCAATATTTTGGAGAGCATAAAAAAAATAAACAATAAAAAAAATAATTATTAAAAAACAGTTATAACTTACAAGATAAAAGTATCTACTCAATGCTTGATCCTATGAACTATAAAGATGAATTAATGCGTGCCTTTCATTTACTAATTTTTATGTACTTTTTTATATGTACAAATAGTACCAGCTTTTCCAAGTCATGCTTAGGCTACCTCTACACAAGTTATAGTACTCAAACTAAGCTGAAGAGGTGAGGCTTGGTTGGATTTCAGTTTTGGTCAAGCTTTAACAGAGTTGGTGCCAAATAAGTCACCAGTTCTCATGATTCATAGAAACCCCTTGTCACATGACATTAGTGATTCTTTAAGCTGCCAAAAAATACAATGATTCTTTAAATCTAAAATAGACAAATGTCAAGCCACCACTGCAGATGACCTACGATGAAAGCACGACAATAAAAAGTTACCTTTTTTTATAAACACATGCACTGTGCAGTACATAAACCACATCAGATTTGATGGTCTATAATCCACTAATATAACTACAATCTGAAACAAACATCTACCAAAATAAACAAGGGATATAAAGAGAACTATGAGGCTCATATTGGCATATTATTATTGGTCAATTAAAGCCATTTGCACAAGAAATGATATCCAAGAACAGAGAAAAACATTTACCATGTCATGCTTGAAGAGCATCCCCAATAGAGCGTTGATTTGTGTCATCATCACACCATCACCAACGCCCAATGCTGCGGCCATTAAGAGTGGATAAAGCATCCCAAGAAATCCACTGCTTGTGCTGGATTTTAGTATACATTAAGTTCCAGATATCAGAATAGATCATCAATGGAACAAAAATCTACACAAGTAGGACATGTACCTGTATTTAAGCAGAATCCAAAGCAGTACAATAGCATGAGCTGAAGATCCACCCACAATTATCCAAGTAACTGATGAAACACTGGAAGTAAGCCGACCGGCAACCAGAGAACACTGAATAAAAGTTTAACATTAGCTAAGTCGCTTAGTGATCCACACCACAATTTATAGGAAGTACACTACCAAAGGTAGCTTACCAAGTCACAGTGGTACACGTAAATTTAAAGATCAGAAGTCAATAAATTCTGCCAAATTCATGTCATATGCAGTATAATATTGGAAATAGGAATATGGTACTAAAACAATTGGTTGCATAAAACCATCTTTATGTTCTTGACTCACAAAATGCTACTAGAATACAGAATACCTCTGAACTTAAAATAATCAGCTTTTTCTTTTAAAAAAAAATAAATAAATCATTCAGATGGAAGTATGCTGAGTAGACTCTCAATAAAAGTTTCCCTAAGATCCTCTTTCTTATATTCTTAATTATTGAAATCATTTTCTTAAAGGATATACATATAGGATATTTGTAACAAAAAGCAATAAAATGTGAAACATAGGACATTTAGCGATCCTTGACTTAAAATTTACAATTTGGCTTCTGATGGTGTTCAAAAGACATTGGACAATGCAACTTCTTTTAATGGACTTACAACATTTGAGTATTAAACAAAGAACAAGTATACCATTCTGCTTTGTTGTAATAATAATAACCATATACAATAAGATATAAATATAGGTTTTGGCATTGATGGTGTTGTTTCTTACAGTCAACTGTGTTGTTGGTTTAAGTCAAAACGATTCCCCAATCCGAATTGGAGAGTTCATTGTCAGCATGATTTAGTTCATTTCAACGAGGCCAGCTAGTTATCACTTTACATGCAACCAATCACTTGTTACTCATATGACTAAACAAGGCTACAACCCTAGCGCCAAGTACAGTAGAGTCTTATTCAAATAAAGCTCACAAACAATTCCATCTTTCTATCACAGGCTAATTTTGGGAAAATACACCCAAAAGCCTGTCCTTGATTGTAGTTTAGGGACTAATTTGCAATTCCACAGAAAATATCTAAGAATTTTCTGCTAATGTTTGATAATTATGACAAACTTAAACATTTCAGGTTAAGTCATACTAAAAATTCGGTAGGAGTTGAATGTCAAGGATAATTATAAGCTGCAACTGCCGATTTCTATCCCATTGCAATTACAAGTTACAACAGCCAAAGTCACTGGAAATCCACATGTGTATATTGATAAGAAAATTACAAATACAAATTACTGAAAGCAGGGCTTTTTTATTGATTTTAACCACCTAATCCGAAAAGGCATAATCATAGAAAACCAAAGAAAGAACAAGAAGCATGTCTTAAGTCAAAACACACATCACGAAAAACAATGCTGAAGGATTGTTAGTAACTTCATATACTACACAGCAATATGAAGCCCAAAAGGCAGAGCCATTTCTAATTATGAACAACAAAATATAGGCATCATGTAAACAATTGCGACAAAAGAAGACATGTTTAGTAACTTGAAATGAAAATGTTCAATCCCAAACAACTAACAGGATATTCAAACTAAAATTAAGTTGAAGGTCAGGCCTCATGGTGTGCAGAATAATGTTAATGTCAAAACACTAAACAAACAGATGCAAATTGTAAGAACTTACAATAGCATCAGCGGCCCCGTAGATTGCCATTGAGCCACCTATACCAGACTCTCCAAGAGCAGGCTTTACAATTTTCTTGGTGAACTCAGCCCTTAGAAGTTAAACATGAAAGTGATTATTATCATAATGCCACTAGGGTGAAAACAAAATAATAATGCTAGCATTCTTACCAAACAAATGCTTGCTGTAATCCAGAATATGCAAAAAGGGGGATTATTAACAGAATGCGAATATCAAACAATGGTTTTATAACTGTTTTTGCAATAGAGACCACGTAAGCAAAGCAGTTGATGGAAGAATTTTTAGGTTGATCTTCAAGTGCGCTGTCTCTTGTATGCAAAAAGCACATTAATATGCAACCAAGGGTCAAGATGCAAAGGAATACGAAGAACAACAGCTTGGTACCACTACCACTAGTATCTCCCTCCTGCAATGAATAAAATATATTATTACAAAAAACAATGTCACAACAGCGATGAAGATTTAAAAAAAATATATATATATATATATATAATACAAGCTTACCAATATACGTAGTATTTTACTTGCTAGAATTAAGTCAAAATGAAGGTAACATGACAACAGTACCACATAAATTGGGTGCATCAAGTGTAACTACAAAGGGATTAAGTTGTTCATAACTAGGTCATCAAGGATGAGACTAAAATGAATTTTTGCTTAACCAGGGTAGTGCCAATGCCTTCTATACTAACACTCTTACAAGTTCAAGGGATTTTTTTTTTCAGATGACGTAATTTATACAAAAGAAATGAAGAAAGAAGTTAAATTGTGGAGAGTTAGGGGTCCTCTGATGAAGGAATGCAACACTTGAATTCCTAGTGCTATTTTTGCAAGAATACTTAATACATATTTCTTGGCGTCCTTTTTTGATGACGTATTTTATACAAAAGAAATGAAGAAAGAAGTTAAATTGTGGTGAGTTAGGAGTCCACTGATGAAGGGATGCAACGCCTGAATTCCTAGTGCTATTTTTGAAAGAATACTTAATACATAGTTCTTGGCGTCCTTTTTTGATGATGTAACATACCTCAACTCTTTAAGACACTCCCCTACGTACGAGGGTCAAGAAGCATAAATTTTCACATATTTATTGCTTTATCATGAAGGTCGAAAGGCATAAATGATTCAATAACATGCTTTCATCACACACCTCTTTTCTCCACAAATGAATATAATGGAGATATGAAATTAGGTTAAAGCCACAATCTGACTTACACCCTATTGCCTAAAAAAAAATAGAAGCGAAAATAGACTAAAGAAAGTCACTAGGGAAAAATTAAACCAATTCCTTTACTCTTTTGTATATCATTCATCCAATATGTAAGCGATCATATAGCAACTACACATTTTGTGCCAATTCAATTTTTTCAGACAGACATGCTTTACCATTTGACCAATTCGCCTTAATTTTGTCATTACTAGTTACTAGAGCAGTATACCACCTCTGCCCCCTCCCAAGTTCATGTTGACATAAAATAAAAATTAAAATTGAAAATAAATTAGTTCTAGTGAGATGCTTGTTGTAGCAATGTATAACTCAGTCCAAACATTGTCTTTAACAACATGTCAAATAAGTATATCCAATTTATATACAATACTTCATACTTCCTCCATTTCTATTTACTTAGTAACTTGACCCATAGCCTTTGGCACAATATTTAAGGAGGTGAGAGAGAAATTGTAGTTTTGTGGCCCTTGTTGCACATGACTTACTTAGTTACATTACTACCCCAAAAGTTGTCACCATATGCACTTTATGAGGGTAATTTAGATAATTTGCCCATCAAAAGATTACCAAATTTAGTATGGGTCAGTAATATGGTATTTCCTTTTTAGGAATCTTAGTCAAGTAAATAGAAAAGGAGGAAGTATTTGACAATACAAAACTAGCACCTCATGTTATTTATAAATAAAATGGCACCAAAAATCCAAAATGTATAGGATTTTTTTTTTTACTTCGCTTTTCCATTACCTTAAATAATTTAATTATAATTTCTTTTGTATTTTACCACCAAAAAAAAAAAATTCTTTTAGTGGTCCACACAATTAAATTTCCACCATCAAACACATTCCATGATTCCATCCATGAATCTCTTAGTGGCCCACACAATTTCTTTCCCCATTCTTTACCACAATCTTTCTACATTCACTTCCCTCAACATCCATGTCACCTTTTTTTTTCTTCAATTTCCAAAAATTGGCCCTTCCATTTTTTATATAAATCTATCTGTTACCTCTCTGTCACTGTTTTTCCACCTCTTAGATGAAAAGAAGGGAAAAGAGGTGGAGATAGGGGAGATGGAGATGGAGATAGAAATGGAGGCTGAGAGAAATGAATGAGGGAAAATCATAAAAAGAAGGAAGTGGAAATGGAACATGGTGGACCCCTCTAACAAATATGTGGACATTTGTTACTTGGTGGAAAAACCAAAAGAAAACAATTTTAAGAAAAGACAAAAATTATTTAAAGGTAGTAAAACACAAAAATGGGTTTTCTAGAAGGTGAAAGGAAAAGAAAAAAAAAAAAAAAAAAAAAAAAAAAAAAAAAACAATCCATATCCATATTATCAAACAATAGAGAAGGGAACTCCATTGTCCACCAAAGGACTTTACTTTAGTCAGAGAACTCAATCTAGGAAATGAAGCTTTATAGCTTTATAACACTTACTTTTCCATCTTTCAAGAGAAATAGAGCCAAAAGATTTCCAATAACCTGAAAACAATTCAAATATAGTATTAAAAACAAAATTTAATTGTTTGTTCTAATATACCTGTAAAAAAACAATTGTTGGTGGCCACAATAAACAAGATTTAAGAAAAGAAAAAGATACTACCTCCGTTTCATATTTTTTTGCAACTTTGGAATATTTTATATCTCACAAATAATACCCAAAGTTGCAAAAAATATGAAACGGAGATAGTAAATAAAAAACACACACACACACACCTGATGTGTTGCATAAATCCCCCAAAACTCTCCATTGAAATTTCCAATTACAGTTCCCTCGTGTAAATTGCAATCTCTCGCATGACTCCGTGCAGTGGAAGTTAAATATGTTCCCTGGCAGCCCAATAATAATATCAGAGAACAATCTGAAAGTTTTGCAGTCGTCAATCAGTCAAGGAAGCAAAGTAAATGAATCTAAAGACAAAACAAACAAATACTAATTTATTTGTCCAAATATTATTTCCAATCAGGCTTCAGCGAGCAAATTAAAAAAGTAGGGAGGGCCATATAGTGGTTGAAAGTTAATTAAAAAAATTAAATTTTGAAAGTGGTTTGAGAGGGAAAGTAAGAAAAACTAAGAAAGTGCAAGATTAGTAAAATAAGGTTAATGTGATGGATAGAGAAAAGGTTGTAAGAGAAATGGGGCAAAATTTCACAAGGGAAGGCGGGAATTTTCCATAATGAGTTCAACAAAAATCATATAGGGACAAGACAGAGAAATAGTACAGTGAGAAACATTGATTAGTTTCCGCATGCATGAGTACCTGACCAACCCATATTATCGAAGCACAGAATCCCATGTATACAGAGGCAGGGACCATTGTGTACCTGCATATGTAATCCGTGGAATTCAAAATTATGGATAAGAGATGAACACAAAATAACATTAGCTTTTCACTGTATAAGGTGTCAAATTAATATTGCAGGATCTACGATATGTGCTCGCCTCAAACTTATAATTAAGTGTTAGTGCAGTTTAGGATTACCATACAATTGTACATTCAACATGATTTTGCTCTCTGTCGATGATAATTAATATTATATCAAAAAACACTGCTTACCTTACTTTCTATGTAATTCAGCCATCAATTAATTAGAAGGAAAAAAAAAATCACAATTCACTTACCACTTCCAATTAAAGAAATACCGATAGATTATTAATTACTTTTTCCTAATTCTACCATTCTACAAAGTCAAGTGTCTTAAATACTAATTTTGAATTGCAAAACACAGCAATTAATCCTTCAGTTCGAACAGTTAAATCACATCACATTCCACATATTACACACTTGTTTTGGCCCTACGGACCCTATTATTTATAAAGAAAGAGCTCCTCTTTTAAAGGAGGCACAACATGTACAGAGAAACTTAGCAAGAAATTATATGCATCAAGAACTATTTCCCATATTTGAGCAACGGGTACATCTTTGAGGGAGATAAATATATTGTTATCAACAGATAGGAAAACATCCCAAGAGCAGATTGCAAATGCTGTAAATGGAAGTTACAAGAGGACTAACCAGATTGTTCAGTGTGAATCAGGGAGAGAAAGAAAGAAAAAAAAAAAAAAAGGCCACTAGATCGAAGACCAACATTAATACTAGGATTCTAGGAACAAAAACACTGACAAAGTTTCTTACTAGAGCTGTATAAAGCTCATATTCACACCACAACATTATAGGATGAAATTATCTAAAAACTACTCGAATGGGAGAGATCTGTCTCCAATTACCAATTAAAATTTAAAAGCAGGCAGCAAACAAAAGCTCTGTCTGCATAGATTCATAATAAAGGCTCCCTAGAGTGATGCTACACGTGCTATCAAGCAAACTAGGAGAATAGTGCCACTGATTGCGCATAGTTGAGTTATTAGACTAGTATAGGAGTGCAAACTTGAAGTAGCAATAATTAAGGAGCTGTAAACAACCAAAATCTTGAAACCAAGAGTAGAAATTACCAATTAGGCATCATATTTGCAGCTGTAAACAACCAATACCCAGTAGTTCCAAGGAGCAGGGCATTCTTTGATCCCAATTTTCGAACAAACAACGAGGCGAAAAACGAAAATACCATGAATGATACATACAAAATCCCCAATGATATAGTACCCAGATCACCTTCCTGATAAACAGAAAAAATTCAGCAAAAAATTTAAATTTGGGCACAATACAAACGCTCAATTACTCAAACTATAATGAATTATGTGCCAAACGATCAATTAATCACAGAAATTAAAAATAAATACAAAAAATCATGCGAAATTGAAATGATTGATTATTCCAAATAATGCTGAAGTTAATGAAATGAAACTCACATCGTTAACCGTACTCTCGAGATTCTGAACAGCACCATAAGCCGAAAAAACGAGCAAGAAAGCTAAGCTGAGTATATGAACATCTCTAGAATGAGTTTTAGGGTGATTAATCGACGCATTTTGATCAACCAAAGGTAAGCTTTCATCAAGAGAAGTTATAGACCCCATTTTATCTTGAAATTGCAAATTCCAGCAAACCCTAGAATTTGAGCAATTCAAGTAAGGAAATCCTTGAGTAGAACAATGAATAGTAGCTAGATCATGGACGCTTCATACATGTGATTGTGATGAACTGACAAAGGATTTAGCAATCAAATACAAGGAGTACTTCGTTTCGTACAGACTTCAAAGCGAACCTGTGTACACATGATCAAAACATATACTTCTTCCGTTTCTTTTTTTAATTGCACAATTTGGTACTGGAAAAAGAAACGAGAGAAAGGTAAAAATATAAGATTGTCCATGTGATAATATACATAAACTAATATCTAAGGGTTTGTAGTGGAAAAAAGAATGAGAGAAAGATAAAAATATAAGATTTGCCCATGTGATCATATACATAAACTAATATTTCAAGGGTTAAAAAGTTAAGGTAAATTTGGTATTTATAGTTAGGGGTGTGCATAAACAGGATCGGACCTGTTGGGACCGGACCTGTAGATTCAGGTCCGATCTTGGTAAAGGTTTCCGGTTCCGGTCCGGATCAGGTCCAAAACCGGGGTTTTCAGGTTCGGACCTGAAACCCGGAAAAATTGTTTTTTAAAAAAAAAAAAAATTCAAAAATCAAAGACAGGTCTATTCAGGTCCATATACAGGTCTATGCAACAGGTCTAAAAATCAAAAAAAAAAAATTGTGATTGATAATTTGGGATTGTATGTAACTATTAAATTATGCAACTGGTCTAACAATCACAAAACAGGTCCATATACAGGTCCATATGCACGTCCAACAAGTTATTTATTAAAAAAAACGAAAAAAAATAACAAAACAAGTCTATTCAGGTCCAACCCGGACCGGACCTAATTTTTCAGGTCTGACCCGGAACCGGACCTATTGAATTAGGTCCGGTCTCCGGTCCTCAAAATCCCCTAATTCAAGTCCCGGTCCCAACAGGTCCGGTCCAGGTTCGGTCCGGTTATGGACCGGTGAACACCCCTATCTATGGTGTGAACACAAATATTTCTTTTCCTAAAACAAAATAGTGCAATATTTATGATATTTCCTTAAAAGACAAGTGGTACAATATTAAAAAAACGAACGAAGTGTATATGCACTACGATATACTACTCCGTGTTGTTTTTAGTGGAGCTTGACTTCGGTTCCCATGCATGTGACTCGGGTTCGATGCTCATATCCCCTCTCCCCTTGGGTAATACCCCCTTGACATTCTTGTGATAGGTAATCAAGGTGGGGCCCACCCCTTACTCCTTTAAATAATAGGAAAATGATAAACATAGCCTTAAGGGCTATGTATAAGATGCTAAAAAAATATTGAAAATAAATTAACATTAATTATACCATTCTACGCGTGATTTTTTCATGAATTCCCAACTTAAATCCATCTTAGAAAGTATATTTAATGCTTATATATAGCCCTAAGAGCTAAATATATCATTACCCTTAAAAAATATATATATCATATTTATAGTAATATATAAAGAGAAAGGGGTTTTGGGTGATAAATTTCACTTTCCAAAATTACCCCTCTTATATTGCATAATTACATCTATTATTATTATTAATTTTTCTTTTTACTGAAAAATTCTATTATTGACATTTCTCACTTATCAGTTACCAGTCTTACCATAACTGCTCCAATTACCATTCTTCAAATTAAAAAGATAAAATAAAATAAAATAAAATAAAAAAGAAAAGAAAGAAAGAAAAAAAAAACCTGCTCTAATTACCACAAATGCTCCCAAAAATTTATTATTTTTTTCTTCCTAATTGCTCATTTTTAATGTCAATCAGTAACCAAAGCCTCCCACATCAATAAGCAACTGCCCACAAGTACTCTTCAAATGGAGTGCTTTCCCAAAATAATGTTTAGAAGAGTTGCAATTTCATGATTACAATTACTTTTTTATAAATTCTCAATATACTGTCCACATCATTGGTTTAATTATATTATTTTTGTTTCGATTTTTTTTGGCAAAACCGTTATCTAAAATAGCAGTTTAGGTGGCAAAACCGCTACTTCGAATAGTGGTTCCCTACCTTATATTAATTTTTTTTTTTAAAGAAATAAAGTCTGACCTCCAACCTTTTTCTCGTTCAAACCAAAGTTCAATTAACGCTCAAACTTTAGATTTCAATCAAATTTCATTCATTCTTTTTTTATATTTCATCATTCATTCCATTTGCCCATCAACCTCAAAGCCAAAGTGGTGGATTTTCTTATTCAATTTGGGGATGAACAAATTAAGTTTGAAAATTTGATTTTTGATTCAAATTGTTTGGGTAATAATGTAATATAATGGGATGATCTTCAATTTCTTTATCTCAAGGCTAATTCTTTGGGCATGGATAAATAAATCATCTTGCAATTCCCTCGCTATCTTGATTTTTTCAATCAATTCTAAAGACTCGACATTCAACACCACCGGTGCATCTTCCGCCTTCGTCACCGCCGCATCTTCCGTCTTCGCCACCAACAGCTCTACCGCCTTCACCACTGTCGCCTTTCGCAAGGTTATTGTAAAAGTGTAGCTAATTTTATTTTGATTTCACTCGTATGTTGTAGATCTAACCAAAATAATTAATGATTAGGGGATTTTTCCCTACCAATCACCATCTGACAAGTGGACCAATCAGGTTCTGCCATGTGTCCGCCACATGGGCCAATAGGAGCCTGCCACGTGTCAGGTGTTGATCTGTCCACCATGGACCAATTGTGTCACGACACGTGTCCTCCCTCATGACAAATGGGAAAACCGGCCACCTAGGCCCAAAGACTTGTGGAAGCCCAATCGGCCCTAGGTTGACCTAAACCTAGGATTGACACGCATCCCAAGGCATATAAATACCATCATTAATCCTCATTAAAGGGGATTAAGCAAATTAATTACTCTCACCTAGAGAAAACCTTTACTCTTTTCCGCATTAATTACTCCTTAAACAAGTACTAACTTGACCGTCGGAGGTGGAGCTCCCACTACCCGGAGTCTCCGTTATTTTGCAGGTACAGGCGCACGGTTCTAGTCTCGGAATTGTAACTCTCCCGCAGGACATCAGAAAACCCCGAAACATTTTGACGCTGTCTGTGGGGAGAGTACTTTCGAGATGGCATCAAAGTCTGTACCGAATCCAGAAGAGAGGCGTCCAGTGGATGACCCTCAAGTCTACTCAGACCAAGATACTGAGAATGAGGTCGAGGTTGAAGCACACACGGCCTCAAACGGGACCCTAAGGGCCCGACGCACCCGTCACACCGAAAGGAAAGAACGGGTAGATTACCAAGCTGGACCCAACAATCCAGCCGGCTCACCGCCTGATTAGCAACAGGCGGCTGAAGGATCCGCTCCTATTACAAGAAACGAACTCATGACTTTCATGAGGGGGTTCAAAGGAGAGATCTAAGAATTAATTAATAAGAAGACGCCTGCTCCCTCCAAGGAGCAGTCGGCTAGGAAACCTTATCAGTCTGGAAGAAGGAAGCCTGTACAGGCGTTCACCAACCTAATGTACCTCCAAGGGTTAGATGATCCCACTTGGTGCAAGTGTTTCCCAGCAACTCTCAAAGGAATCGCACAACAATGGTTCGGCAACCTGCCGACTGGTTGTGTGAATAATTTCAGGACGCTTGCTTACCTCTTCACTTCCAATTTTGCTATGAACATTCCTGCAAAGAAGACGACCCTTGACTTAGAGACCATTCAGCAGGGTGAGAAGGAGGGGCTCCGTTCCTACATCAGGCGGTTCAACCTGATGAGGATTCAAATTCAAGGGCTGCCGGATGAGGTAGCCTACACTGATTTTTTTTCAGAGGTCTTAAGGATGGGTCGACCTTCAAGTTCGACTTGGTCCGAAAGAGGGTTGCGACTCTCCAAGAAGCGTTGATTGAGGCAGAAGCCTATATACAGGCAACTGATCTCTGTAATACTGGAAAGCAGTCGGACGGAAGGAGGTCTGTCAAAAAAGAAAGCCGACCAAAGCAGCCGGCAAATAAAGATGAGAAAAAGAGGAAAGAAGTCTGGGCGGCCGACTCTTCTGGACAGCCGGCCCAGAAAAAGAAGAAAGAATTCAAACCATACTCTCCCAAGTATGTGTTTAACAAGGATAGCCAAGCTATTCTCAAAGAAATCAAGAGCCGGATCTCAATTGAGAAGCCGGCCCCCATGAAGGGTTCTGCAAGCAATCGGAACCAGGATAAATTCTGCCATTTTCATGAGGACGTTGGTCATGAAACCAATGAATGCATAAGCCTCATGCGCTACCTGGACCGCCTAGCTGAAAAAGGTGACCTTGACTCCTATGTCAAGAAGTCCAAGGGGAATGCTCCCCTAAAAACCAAGCAGTCGGCCAGGAAGAATCATCAGCCAGCCGACAGTTCAGATACTGATGACGCAGTCGTCTATACCATAGCAGGTGGCTTCTCAGGAGGCAACCCCACTATCAGGGGCAACAAAGATAATATAAGGCGGCTAAATGTTAATTCCGTTCACCAAGAACGGACCGCCAAGAGTTCATTCCCAGAGATTGTTATCATAGAAGAAGATCTGGGAGGTGTTAAGGGGTTGCATGATGACCCCATTGTCATTGAATGCAAGGTGGCCAACCAAAGAGTTGGCCGGATCCTCATAGATACCGGTAGTTCCTCTGATCTCATCAGTAGCAAGTGCTTGGCAAAGCTCAAGTACAAAACTGATTGCATACATCCGGTATCTCACCCTTTAGTAGGGTTTGGAGGAGGTGTCGTACACCTAGTAGGACGAGTGGATCTACCCATCCGCCTGAGTGAGAAAGGAGAGGGCTGTCACATGGTGGTTCGGTTCTTAGTGGTTGAGGAGCTCTCAACCTATAACATGATCTTGGGACGACCTACCCTAAATATTTCTAAAGCTGTCATTATACCTTCTCTAATGCTGCTTAAATTTGAGAAGGATGATGAAACAGTCGGTTCCCTAAGGGGAGATCAAAAGATGGCTCGAGAGTGTTACCTCTCGGATATCAAACCCACTATGGTGGCTGCTAGGCCAATTGGTGAAAGAACTGACCTTGAACTTGTCAAGGAGGATGCGCCTGCTCAAAAGGCAGGCGGCAAGAAAAGAAAGGCTGCCCAATTGGGGGTTGAGAGAAGAGAAAAAAGATAGAAATCACTGGCAGAGGAGCGGTCAGATGAATTCTGCCCTCAGCCGGTTGGTGAGCATATGGATGTCGTGCTGGACGACTCACGTCCTGA